AATAGTACTTGCTTCTTGTATAATTAAAATTGCAATCCTACTTTCAATTGTTTATATATATATATATACACACACACGTGTGTGTGTGTGTGTGTGTGTGCGTATACACTTCTCATTTCAGTTACAATTTGTTTTTAAAAACGTCTATCTAATATTCATAATATTCCCATTAATTCTATTATAGAGTTTAGAATCTGTATAGGAAAAGGATGTCCTAAATGCTGAGCTGTAATAGTCTGAATTGCAAATTTTATTTGAGAAATCATTTCAAGTTAAGATATTACACATTTGTACCATGTTAGGCAAATGCTTAAAACATTTCTTAGACAACAGATCGTGTTTCTGTATATTCGTAGTTGATAGTGTTTCTGCTTGAATGAAGGAAAGACTAGGAAAATACACACTAGTGAAAATATACACCCTAACTTGTTTATCTGCACATATTTACAAACTTCATTCTTTACACAAAATGTAATTATGGCAACAGACTTTATAGTTAATTTTCAAAAATTGTATGTATTTTTAATCAGCATCTCCAAAAGATGGAGAAACCTTTCCTCTCTCTCTCACGCATCCCTGTCTCTCCTTTCCTCCCTCTCTCTTGCTTCTTGCTCCTTTCTCTCCACCAGATGAGTTTTTAGTATCTTCATCAGACCTTTCCAGATCAAAAGTAACATTAGCTTTAAACCAGAAGGCCATCATGCTGTTAGTGTGGCACAGGGCTTCCCAAACTCAGTTCTTGCGACCCCATCAGAGTCAGATGTGCGCTGCACATCAGGTGTGCTCCATGAAATAAGGGACAGCGATTTATGTGGTGTCGGTTCGCCAAGACTGGGATTGGGAATCCCTGTGCTAGGGTATCAAGACCTCCAATAAGAGTGGGAACAACCTGGTGTAGCAAAATTACCACACTTAGCAACAGTTGAATATTTAGCCCCAATAACGCCAAAGTTAGAATTATTTACTTTGATGTAGTGAAACACCTAACATGGCAATTTTGTCTATCGCTAGTACTGTTGACTCCGTTGACTTTATCATCCTATCACTTTTATATTTACCAATGGCTAAACCAACCAAGATGACCAAAAATAAGCTTGTTTTGGAAATTATATTAACCCAGTTTGTCAACCCTTTAAATGACAGAAAAACAGTGAACAACAGAGTTCATTTTAGGACTCTAAACTCTGTAAAATATACTTTTTTTCTTTGGTGTTTTTTGAAAAAGTAATAAGCGCTTAACCTACAGAAAATGTTATTTTCCCACCTCAGTCTGTCGACCCAGACACTGTGAGCTGTTTTCACCATGAATGACAGAAATACAGGGTTGAATTCTGGGTAATAGGGTCAAAGTGAGTAACAGGATCATACACAGAGATCATATTCCCAGTGAAGCTGATGTTAATTCAGTACAAAAAAAGTATTGGAGCAGAAGGGAAAGTGGAAAAATTGTTTATATCAAAATGTTTTTATTACAATCTTCGTTTCAAGCTGTTTTCATTTTCGTTCAATAATAATTGAAGGTTAAAAAGTGAGTAACAGAGTTTTGAATTTAGTCTAAAATAAGCAGCATTCAGGAGCAGTTCACTTGACAGGGTGCACATGTTGCATGCTAAATGCTAATAATCAATCATTTAGTTTATATACATTAAAAAAATATATGAATATATTTTCTCTTATCTGACAATTTTGACAGTTGACAGGGTTGAATAAACAAGCTGTAATTGTGAAGCCAAATCAGTTCATTGTTTGTAAACTGAGAAAAAAGAATGAGAACACTGACCTGTCTGATGGTCATTCTGCAGAAAACATGGAGATGTGCAAATTCCAATTGGTTAACATTTTGGCTACTGAATGCTGATTGGTCAAAATGTTCAAAATCAGAATGACAGCGTGGCCTCTGGTCTTCAGTGGTCAGAGTCAAGACTCTCGGAAGGCTTGTGAAGTTGGGAATCAGAAAGACAAATGTCCAAAGAAGCCTAATTCACCTGAGATGTCCTGTAGTTCACTGGTGTGAGTCATGCCTTTGAGGCCAGGAGGTTGTTGGTTCAAATCCTCATCAGGCTGGAGTTTTGACTTTATTTCTTATATCTTTCTTTCATACATGAAATAAAGTCATTCTGATCATGTAAGTGAGTTAAGATGAAGGCCGTGCAGAGAGATGAGAGGTGGTTGGTGGGGAAGCAACAGTCCCGGCATCCCCCTCTCAGCCTCCTGAGAGAAAAGAAGAGGGGATGTGGATCTGGAAGCAATGATGTCATCTTGAGTTAAGAGGTAGCAGATGAAGTAGTGCTAACCAATCAGCACTCAGTAGCAGCAATGAACCCTCAGGGCCTTCTAAGCATGCTTCTAAGCAAAGAGTTACAACCTTTAGAAAGAGTTTAATCTGGAACTGCCTTTGGAATCATCTCTTCCTTAAGCGATCCTGGCTTAAGATGCTCCTAAACATAAGTGGATGCACAACCTGGGAATCTCAAAGAAAGACAAATATCCAAAAAAAAGCCATTGTTTTAAAGTTTGGGTGGTTTATTGGTATAAAACTGGTGTCTGAGAACAAACAGTTGTTGGTTCAAATCTTGCCTAAGGCCTTGCTTTTGCATGTCTTCATGGTGAAGACACCTGTGAGATCCTGTAGCTCACTGGTATCAGTCATGTATCTAAGTATTGAAGCTTGTTGGTTCAAATCCTGCTTGAGGCACTGCTTTGGCATGTCTTCATGGTGACGATAGGGGGGAAAACACAAAGACAAATGTTTAAAAAAAAACAAAAAAAAAAACAACCAACCTCACCAACCACCAACCTTACACTTCTGAGACCATATCACGTGTGCTGCTACACAGGCATCTGGAGAAGGTCAGTGGTGGCAGAGATGAAGACCAGAACATAATTTGAGGAAAGTATGCTTGCAGTCTGGTGAACTGCTGTGATCCTAATGGTTTAACAGGTGACTGATGACTGATTCTAAATGCATTTGATGGTTTCTAATGGGATCTAAAGGTGTGCTCTCTACCGGAAACCATAAGGTTTTAATTCAGCAGGGTCTGTTTGATTGATCCATTTGTGTTGGACTTTGGAATGGTTTCATGTTCAGGTTCCTCACTGCCCATTTCCCACCTTCACACATTTTGGCCTGCATTTACCCCGACTTAGGTTCATATCCCTGCTTCATTATTGAGCCCTTACTTTTATTACTTTAAACTGTTTTTAATCTCACAAACTGGAATTATTCATGCTATTGGCACCAAAAGGGTGCCCTAACCCAGTTGTTCAAATTTCAGAGATTAAATGAAAAACTGGTATGGAGTTAATTTTGTGCCAAAGGTTTTGAATAAAATGATAAAATCCATCAAAGTATCAACATGTCCAAAATATGTTGCAAATACAAACAATGAGGCTTAAATCAAACTTTTAAAAATGATTAGTACTCATTTGGTCAGTTACTGCTTTAATTCTTTTCTATTTGCTGATTTTGCTGATATAATTTTTGCTTCTGACTTTTGGCCCTTTTGAACAGGAGGCGGGTCTTAGAAGAGGGTGTTCACCTGCACTCTCTGTTGGTTAACTGCTTTGGAGTGACGGGTCTTCTGAACACGTAACCACTCCGCATGAACCACCCCCAGTATGGCAGAATTTGTACCTGAAATAATCATACTTAATATTGTATATTATTGATAATTATAAATATAATTGGAAATAATTATGTATTTGAGTGAAATTCTCCCAACCAATAATGACACCGGGTGCAATTTTCATGAGATTATCTAATGTATAAATGTGTTCATTACGAATATGTTTTACTGTTTTCCCTTTTTATTACTATTTACAGTTCAGTTTTCAAGGTAGAACCATAAAACTTATATATTTCATAGTACAATATATAATTTGATATATATGTTCATACATACTAACACACACATATTAGCAACCACCTGGGATACCATAGCAAAGGCCTAGCAACACTACTAAACACAGAATATATGTAATATAGTAATATAATTAAATATTATATAAATTTAATAATATATATATATATATATATATATATATATATATTAAACACCACCACTTGGTAGTCAAATGTGTCTCCGGTTAGGTGGACTGAAATCAGACGGCTGTCCAGTTCCGCGTTACAGAGACAAACAGCTCACGTTTGGCTGTTTAGATATTTGTTTGAATACTGCATGGTTCCTGCAAGTCGTCTGCAGTTCGTTTTGAACGGTAGGAACCTGAGGAACAGTTGTTCTGTTTTTCCGTACACATCACACTATGCACGAGCATCACAGTCATTGAGTGTGCACTGATGTCTTTCCCACAGATGCCACTTTTATCACTGTTCCTATAGAAACACTAGTTCAAACAGCTAGTGTTTCTATAGGAACAGTGATAAAAGTGGCACCTGTGGGAAAGACATCAGTGATCCATGCCCTAATAATGAACCCTCTTTCAGAGTCACTTGGATCTTTTCTTCTTGTCATTTTGATCCAAAATTGAGGTCAGCTGGGCCTGCTCAGCATTTTATACATGCCCCAGAGAATGGCAGGATGTGTACTACTTAAATGCATCGTGTTCACCTGGAAGTGCCTGCGCCTACGTTTCTCCGCTCATTTATCATGGTTTTTCCTTTGTCAGCCATCTGTACGTTCACTTTTCACCTTATTAGAAACACCACTGCCCACTTCTTGAGCTCAACTATATAGGTGTACAACGGAGCCCATCTGTTGCACAGACCATCAACCCCCAACTACCTCAGTCATCAATAGTCAGTTTCTGATCACAGCACTGCTGTTGATCAGTTATTTTTGAGTGGTGCACAGCAGTTATACTCATACCTGGTATGAGTGTATCTGTGGTGTTGCACTGGTGTCAGAAACAAGCCACTGATGAAGAGCTAGAGGATGAAAAACAAACTGTGTTTCAGATGAGCTGCAGTTTCTAGTACACAAGCAAGATGGAGGTACAAGGTAGAGGTTTCTTAAAAAAGTGACCAGGAAACAAGACGAGAAGACACTCCATTGCTACAGTATTTATTCTTGGTCAGTCATTCAAACTCATGGCAGCTGAATGTTTCCTCAAACAGTCTTATATCTCTCTGAAATTTTAAACAAAATATAACCAATATTTACAATTATTGTATTAAAAATACAAAATGTGATACAGACTTCGCCACGTGTCTTTTTAAAAGACATAGAAATACATGTGGTATGAAAAGATGGGGCTTGGAAGGGAGACGGAGACTTGGGAGGCGTTCTAACAGTTCATTTCGCTTGAATTAAAGCATATGTAAAAAATAAAGGAAGTAGCTATGCAATAACTATATTTATAAACAAGTATTAACTACGCAAACATTCTAGTTTTACACTTTTCCATTTGTGCAACAGTTACAGTTTGTGCCTGATACCACTTGATTGGCAAAGAGAGGAATGAAACTGATTCAGTAATAAAATACACCATTATTTAAAAACAACAACAACAAAAAAAAAAACAGTAATACAAATGCTGGTGATCACATTTGGAAACCGAGGTGGGAATATAAACAGAAGAGAGAACATGATTCAAACCATAATAACATCGTGATCGACTGAATACTGATGTTAACACTGAATTACGTTGTTTCTGAGGTCTAATACAGGCAGCTTCTCCGTGTCTGAAGAGCAGAAATACCCACTCAACACACACACACACACACACACACACACACTCTGATTCAAGTAATTTTACATGCATCACACACACACTAAACGTACACACATCAATAGACTGCGCTGACTTCAGACAACAATTAAAATAACACTGTTTCCAAGATAAAACCACTTTCAATGTAAAAACAGAAAAGAAAAACAAAACAAAAAAACAAACAAACAATCTTTCATTCAAGTTGTCCATCTTCCTTCATCATTCAATGTTTTTTCTTTCCTTCAAAGTGCCAAAACATCTCTTCTTACGCCTCTCACAGTGATTGTAAAGAACATTTTGTGGCGTTTAGTCTCTCCGCCACAAAATCTGTTCCCCTCATGGAGTTGACTGACAGCTACAGGCACCAATCAGATGACAGCAGAAGTAAAGAGTCTGGTCTGGTTCTGCTGTGAGGACTGGCCACAGGTTTCAGTGAGATTTCAGTGAGATTGTGAATTTTAACAGCGTGCTACATTAATGAACAAACAGCCGCAGTGCGCTGAGAGGGATGGAGCATTTTCATACCGCAGAGACCTGCTCGTTTTCTGCAAAGAGGAAAAGAGAGAGAACATGTTAGACCTTCAACAGTAAAACACAGTCGAGACATGTTTGATGTGTGAAGTTTCACTTCTTTAGTTTTGCTCTGAAGCCACAAAGCTAACAAGGCTAACAAGTAGAAGAAACTCACAGCCACCAGATCAGCATCATGTGAACGGCATGGCTAAATAAGCAACCTAAAACCAAGGCGAGTTGTCAGGTGATCCCTAATAGACTCCCTGGAGATCGTCACTGCAGCGGAATTTGGTTCCAACCACAATCTGCCACACGTGCACTAGATAATTAACTTCATTAGCAGTGCTGATTGGCTAGAACAGGGGCTGGTTTCACAAAAGTGTCTTAAGAGCGGAAATCTTAAATGTGCTTGTTTTTCTAAAAAAAACACCCAAGAAAAAAGCTGAGATAAATTATTGTCTTCTTCAAAAACTTTTGTCTTAAGAACAACTGTAAGAACAAGTGGTATTCCTGAAAAAAAGGAAATGTTTTTTTAAGTATTTTCTTAACCATGTTACAGTCTCACTCTTGTCTGATACTGTAAAAAATGATGAGGGTAACCTCTTAAACTGTAACTTTTATTGAGTTTCACTAAATATAATTTAAAATAACCAAGGTGGATTTTTCCTGTTGCTCATTTCCTCAGCCATCATTTCTAGTTCTTGTTTGCACTGTCCATAACAAATAAAAAGAAGACACAAACAAAGCTGACAAGGGCAGGCCACACACTGTAAAAATCTAGGTGTGATAACGGACAGTGGTTTAAATTAGCCAGTTTAACTATGTGGTTAAATCCATCTTTTCCAACTGAGGCTCTTATCTAAGGTAAAACTCTTAATCTTTCAGAAAATTTGAAAGGGTTATACATGCTTTTATTTCGTCCAGACGTGACTACTGATATGCCCTCTATGCTGGTGTTAGTCAGGCCTCCCTTTCACGCTTACAGTTGGTCCAGAACAATGCAGCTCGTCTTTTAACAGGAACACGCAAGTGTGAGCAGATTTCCCCTGTACTGACCTCTCTTCGCTGGCTCGCTGTACGTTTTAGGATTCATTTTAAGATGCTGTTGTTTGCTTATAAATCGTTAAATGGGCTCCAAACTATCTTTCTAACCTATTACAACCATATGTTCCATTAAGGGCACTTAAGTCTGCTGATCAGTTCCTTTTAACTGCCTTTGAATCAAGGTTGAATAACAGTGGAGTTCCTGCTTTTTCAGTTAAGGCCCCCAAACTCTGGAACTAGGTGCCTTTACATGTGAGGCTGGCTCCTACACTTTGTTCTAATATCACAACCTAAAACACATTTTTACTCTCTTTTAAGCTTTGGTTTCAGTGTGGGAGTCGCTCGTCTTTCGTGTTGTTGTTAGTCTTACTGATCGTATTTATTGTCTTTTTCATTATTTAACTAGTCCAGCTTTTTATTGCCTGTTTTATGAGTTTTCCTACATTGATTGTACAGCACTTTGGTCAACAGCTCTATAAATAAATTTGACATTTGACATTTTAGGGTGGAGGCAGTTGGGGGTGGGTGGCAAGAAGATTTTGGGACTAAAAATAATTTGTAGAAGTAATAGAGTAAAAACTTTACATTATGTAAGGGAAAATAGCAAAATAGCATTTTTATAGTAAATTGCATTTATAAATAACCTTCCACTTAAACAATGTGTAATTAAAATATATATTTTCTCATATATGTATTTCCTGGCTGCACTAAAGCACCTGGACTAAAAGAGACTTCAACAAAATTCTTTAGATGAGATATTTTATGTATTAGTTACTTGGCAAACAAAACCTGTGCTCTGCGTGGTTGCGATGAGTGCAGTCCACCTACTCCAGACACGGCACTGTGTCCAGGAGGATGGTTGGGGACTAGATATGTATGCTTATCCTAAAACAACAGCAGTAGCCACTTGAAGCCTGAATAGTGTAAATCTGACTTTGCTGAAATACTTTTCAGTGTTACAATTTGTCTATAAGCTACTGAGCATCCTTCAGACAGACCATCAAATGGAACTACATTTCCTCACCATCACATGCTGCTCGCCGCGGTGAAGGACAGTGGGTGTATCCGTGCAAGCGGCTGGGCAGGCGTGGCTGTGGAGGTGGTTCTAAGTCACAGGACCTCTTCATGAGGCGGGACCTCTGCAGGGCTGAGTTGTAATCTGGCGGGCGTCGACCGTGCACGTAACTGTGGCTGAGCTCCTCCGCCTCAGCCACTGATAGCGCGGTGTAGCCAGGCGGGGTGGGCGGGGGCTCACGGAACCGGCGCTCTCTCCGACTTGCCGTTTTCGGCACGTTCGGAACCTCATCTTTCCCCCCTCTGCGCTTGATTGTCCCCGTGTCGCCTTCAGAATCGTCTCCCCAGTAAGTGATGGGTGTGGCCGAATGACTTCGCCCCATCGCTGGCACCTCCGACAGTGTCTCCCAGCTGCGGCTGTCATAGCAGCCTATACGCTGTGGAATGCTCTGTATGTTGTCATGGGAACCGCTGGAGCAGGAGGTCCAACTGCCCCGCCCGCTGTCCGCTGCGTCCAATGAGGCGCGGTCGCACTGGTCCTGGGTCAGTGAGTAGGAACTGAGGCAGAAAGAGATGAAGTAAATGTAAATTAGACAAAATGTATACAATACATTTTGTGATGGGGCAAAAACAGGTTCACAAATAAATGTCGTGTTCATTTATTAATACACTAATATTAGCTTAAGCTTAAGCTAATATTAGCTCCAGAAACAATGCATTTGTCCGATATTTTGTATGTTCATTAAAAATAATACTTTACAGAGCTCTAATTGCACGTTACATATATTTGGGTCAGATAAATAAAGATCATCCAACAGAACTTTCAAAGCCTGCCGTGCCTCCCTCTAACAAAATAACCCCCAAAAAACTTTATACTGCTTTCTCAGTCATTATACAATCATCTACAGCTCTGTTCATTAATCTGAATACAATTTTTAAACATTCACAGCCTATTACTAATCAATGGAGTAGCAGCATCAGAATAGATTTTTTTTCAACATAGTAAAAGATATAAAAGATAAAATTAAACGATTCTGATTCTCACCAAATGATTCAAATAGCTTTAAAGCATCAGAAGATGTTCTTTTTTACTTTTTTTCATAAGAGCTCAGTGTGACCATTACTCATCCAGGGCCCACATTCACAAAGCTTCTCAGAGTAGAAGCTCTGATCTAGAACCTGTCAGTAAAGTCACAGTATATAAGACAGGAATCTCATCCTAGATCAGCACATCAAGTCTGAGAAGCTTTGTGAATACAAGCCCATGAACTGACCGTGTTTAATGTTTTTGAGGTTGGCCTGAGTACCTTAACTACTCAAACATTTCTGGAATGACTGATAGACAAACAAACAAAACAAATAAAGACTGTTCTTGTATGCGGCCGTGTTCTTACCCGAGGCTGATCTGGTCTGGCTCCGTACGGTGTGTGTTGTGTGCATGCGTATGTGTGTGAGAGAGCCCGTGTGTGTGAGTGTGTGTGTGGTCGTCTGCCATGATGAGGTCAGAGGACGAAGAGCTCAGGAGACTCAGCTGATCTGGTGCTTCAGACACAGCCAGGTACGGCCCTATGGAACAGACGCAGAGCAGTCAGAACTCACGCGCTCACTCTTCATGACATGACAGTAAAAATATATCTGTAAGGCCAGGATTTCGAGAGGAGGCCCAATCAGAAAGAATCACAAATAACATATTTGAAAAAGTGTAATGACATAAATACCAGGATTTATAGGCACCTATTGATTAGTTTGGTCAGACAGAGATAGAATCAGTATCGCTACTCATTATCGGCCTATACTGAAGGATAAGGTATCGGTATTCATACTGGAAGGCAAAACTGGTATCGGTGCAACTCTGCTGAGCAGTTTTGTCCTCTTTTAAAACCTGTGTCTGCTTCTCTAAATGTGCAGCTCAACCAGATTCAATAACACCAAAAACACCTCAACAATTAGTACAGCTCACAGTGTAGCACCTTTTCTGGGTGTGATGTTGGGTGAAGTGGGTGGGGAAGACAGCAGAGAGGAGGCATTTGATTGGTTGTCATCTGGCTGTGTTCTCTGCCTCTCTTGCCCCTCCTCTGAGAGAGAGAGAATCTTCTTTAAGGACCCCGGTGATCGGGCACCTAGAAACACACACACACACACACATTTAGATGGGATCTTTCTGAAAAGCTGACTGAACATTCTAGTGCTATTCCTTCACCAAGCCTGCACTTTAACGCAAGCTTCCTTTTCATTATGTAGGTCACTGAGAAAGTGTATTTATTTATATAGTTTATTTATTTTTTTTACATACTTTTTTTCATAACCAAATCAAAGCAAACAAAATGTCACGCAATTACTGTCAAAATATTTCATAACCTAGGTTACAGCATACCTACTGAGGCAAATTAAAAAGGAACTAATGAAGTAATTAATTAACAATTGTGCATACCAAAACTTAAGTGGTACATCATATTCAGGGTCGTTCTATATGCAAAACAGTTTGCAGAGCTTACATTTACAGGTTTCAAAGTGCACCCAGAGGGAGTTTTTGAAACCTTTTTTTTTTTAAACCATATTGCAATTGTGTTTGCTAATATATTAAAAGTACAATGTGTAAAATGCACTAGATATGTGGTCCATATGTCCAGAAATATCTACAGTTTTATAAAGGATTCATTTAAAAAAAATAAACAAATATGTAAATCTTACCAAATGGGGGCAATTCTTTGCCAGGTGGCTTCTTGCGAGATGGTTGGTTTGGAGTGGAGCTTCTCTGACTGACTGGAGAGGCGTCAACTCTCCTCTTTTCTGCAGTCGTCTTACACACTAACACACACAGACACAACAACAGATAAAACAGACGAACATACACACTTTGTATTTATCACAAAAACGACCAACATTAACAAACATCCTACAACATTCAGAGCAGAAGAACTTTAAATGAGAGGATGTTCTATTAGACACTCACACAACATGTACAAACCCAAATCCAAAACACTTAAAAGGCTTAATGTTTCAACTAGTTGTATATGTACTTTTATCCTACATTTGAAATATTTGATATATATGTATTATGTACTACTATATTATATCTGCAACATGTAAAAAAGAAAAAGTTGAGACAGGCATGTTTACCAGGTGCAACATCACCTTTCCTTTTAACAAGTCGCTGGCATTTCTGGATGTTGCTGACACATGGCTTCTACTTTGTGTAGGCGAGTCTTAACTTGCATTTGTAGATGCAGTGATGAGTATTCCTGGGACCATGTAGTTACACTGATTACAGAAGCTTGTCATTTTTTTAATGCAGTGCCATCTGAGGTATCAAAGGTCACAGGCATTCGATACTGGTTTACAGCCTTGCCTACAGAGATTTCTCCCGATTCCCTGAAACTTTTAATGATGTTATGGATCTCAGATGGATTACTCCCTAAATTCCTTGTAATCATGTGTTGAGAAATGTTGTTCTTAAACTGCTGGACAACTTGCTCACAAAGTTTTTCCTCAAAGTGGCGACTGAGCCTTTCGTGAATGTTCCTTGTATACCCAATCATGACTCGTTTGGATTTGGGTTTGAAATTCTATGTACAGTGCTCATGGGGTGGGTATACTGGGTATATTGTGGGTATATTATCATCATCGCAGTATTCAATCTTATCCACAGAGAGGTGTTGTGTTTGCAGGATTTCTTTCCATTCAAGCAGCAGCACCTGAATCCACCGATCTAAATCAGTAAGTTAGTCTTCAAACAACTGATCAGTTATATGAATTCTGCTGCTGCTTGGTTTAAATGAAAACCAGCAGCCACACCAGCAATTTGTAGATAAGATTAGTGACGTCTGGTCTTTATCAACAATATTACGTTTGCAATAAGAAGGGATGATTAGACCCAGATACAAACCAACCCGGTTACAAAAAGCATTGAGCTTTAATTATAAAATGCTGATATTTAAACGAGCCATATTTGTGCTATAGTCTACAGACTTTTTAAGCATCTCCATTTAGTACACTGTCTATAAGGATTTTCAAAAGGAACTTGTTGGCGATACTAAAAAAAAATCAAGCGCAGTGCGTAACTCACCTGTGTTGGTGGCAGGCTCCCACTGCAGGGAGAGTGTATGTAAGGTGTCTTCGTCACTCTCATATGAGAGGGTGTCGAGATACTGACGCACTCGTCTGCTCATCATCTCTGCCTCGTACAGTTTCTTAGCACTGAGGAAGGAGCTCCGCCTGCCGCGTCTCCGCTGGCCCACCGTTCCCACCTCAGACAGAGAGGAGCTGCTCACCTGACTCAGAGACCTACACAGACAGAAAAAGGAGTGAATGAATGAGTGAGGAAAACATGTCATATGAAAAAAGGTAGCAGGGTAAATCTCGAGATTAAATCTGTTTGCAGTTCTTTAGGAAACGATTCAATGCATCACAAAACCTCACATCTCAGCATCACTGCATTAGATTTCACTTGATTCTGTCAGAATGATTCAGAATTATTTTTAAAGATGAACTGAATATACAAATGTGCCCCAAAAACAATGATCTGAAAATCGTTTTCAGAAATACATTTTAAGAACAGAATTTTGTCTTTATTTTTATTCATTTAAAAATGAATGCACAGTTTATTCAAAATTAATATAATTAATAATAATATTCAGATGCAGTTGAGTCGCCACCTTCGGACTGGTGAATTTTACACCTCAAAAGTTGTTGTTTGGGCATGCATTAAATGTTCTCAGCATGCTACAGGCTACCAATGCTGTTTCAGGAGAGAGGAAGAGTATAGAAGAGAAGAGGAAAGAGAGAAGACATTAAGAGAACAGAAAAAGAAACAAGAAAAAGAAGAAAAAGCAGAAGAGGAAAAGAAAACAAGAAAAAAGAAAAGGGGACAGTAGAGAAGAGAATATATAAGAGAAGAGAGGAGAAAGAAGAGGAAAGAGAAAAGGAAAGAAGGGGAAAAAGAAAAGAGAAAGAAAGATGAGAAGAAAGAGAAGAGGAAAACAAGAAATCAGAAGTAAAAAGAAGAAATATAGAAGAGAAAAAGGAAGAGAAGATAACAGAACAAGAACAGAAGTGAATGGGGAAAAAGGGAAAGAAAGGAATGGAGAAAAAAGAAGAGAAAAGAGGGAAGAGAATGGAAGAGTAGACGGAAAAAAAGAGAAGAAAAAAGAAGAGGCAAACCAGAAGACAAAAAGAAAAAGAGAAAGAAGGAAAAGATGAAAACGAGCACAGAAGAGGAAAAGAGAAGAGGAAAGGTAAAGAGGAGAGGAGAGAGGCTGACTAGTGGGGTTTAACTAAAACTGCATCAGCCTGAGTCAGTTCGGTTAATAACACGGCACAAACACAGCAATGTTAACAGGAAAAGACGGCAGAAGAGATTAAAAAGTAGAGGGAAAGAGAAAGAGGTGTAAGAAAGAGAGCGCGAGCTATAGTCCCACTTACCCAAGACTCCTCCACTTTTTCTTCCTAAAACAGAGCCGTGAGGACACCAAAGAGGTGGATGGAGAGAAAGACAGACATAAAGAGGAGAGACAGAGAGACAGACAAGTGCTTATACAGTGAAGCCCACAGAACAGAGGCCACAGACCACAGACCACAGACCACAGGAAGAGCCCAGTGAGACATCAAGCACAAACACTGCTGGCGGAAATATCACCCAAACAATTATTAAAATCAGTGAGAACAGTGGTTTTCATTTGCATGTAAAGTATTCACACTACTGTCCCTTTCACACATGCGAGTTCACCTGAGAATTTAACTCTCATTAAGTGGGAAGGGGTTAAGTGTGAACGCAAGCTGGGGTCAAAACCCTGGTAAAACTGACACAGCAATTAACCTGCGTTAGGATGACACCTTTGCCACAAGTCAATGTGTGAAATTTCTGCTCTGCTACATCGGCCACAGTCAACTGTAAGTGCTATTGCAAGAGCCTAAACTCTACTGAACACCTTTTGGTACCAGGACTTCTTGTCCAGCATCAGTGCCTGACATCACAAATGCTCTTTTGACTGAATGGCCAGGTACACACTCCAAAATCTTCGTATAAAGCCTTTCTAAGAATAATGGGAAGTGGTTGGATGCAGGAGCCAGTATTTGAATTCCTATGTAGTGCATTAGGATAGGGAGCAGGGAGCCATTTAAGATTCAGCCCCAGTGTGGGAAAACAGACAAACAACCCTGTTAGCTTTGAGCTAAATAAGACTGAAAATCACATAGCGGTGCTAAAGGAAACTGGCATTGTCCTTTCGGTGGTATTTTGGAGCAGAACTAATTATAAAGTAATTATTGTTGCATTTAACAGTGCTATATTATGATATGTTTATTATTATTTGACAGAAAAGTTAAAAAGTTTGTGAAATGAGTGCAATATACATTTAAAAAAAAACTAAATTTCTTGACGGAATAATTGTTTATCTCAATTATTAATAATAACAACATTTTATTTTGAAACACTGCAGTTTATCATATTTTATGTTTTTTGTTGTTTTTTTTATAATTATAATTAATAAGCCACTTGAGGGTGTGCGTTACAGTGATTTTGTCACAGATAAAGGGTTATACTCCACTTCGTGCCTAATAACACTCTTACCTGTTATAAAGTCACTGTAGTGACTTGAGGCTTATTGCTTTACTGAGGGCTGCATGTATGAATGTCGTAAAGCCTGAACATTACTGGTACAAACATCCCAATAATGTCCTGGGTTCTGAGTGTGAAAGGGGCTTAAGTAACTTTACGGAATTCCACAAGTTGAGCAGAGCTTGAGATTGCATGTCTGTGTGTGACCTTTGTGGAGACAGTATCAAAATCCTATTCAGAGTGTAACTGTGTGTGTGTGTGTGTGCGCTGCGCGTGCGTACCTGGTCTTAAAGAGCATAGTTGGGTCCATGTTGACGGTAGCCATTCTAACCACGTGTCTGATCTCTCGTGCGATCATCCTCAGCTTCTCAAAGTTCACCAGACCATCCACTTTAGAGGCATTGCCTAAAACACAGCCACATGAAAACTCACAATCTGAAGCCAAATGGGAGACCCCAAAGATGGAGCTGGTAGCGCTGTGGGTTATGACTTGTGGGTCTTACCCTCGTGGAGAAAGGTGAGGTCTTTTTTGATGACAGGGAAAAGAGGGATGATCGGAGGCTGGAGGTTGTGCTTGTTCAGCAGGTTGCGGTATTTGGCCATGTTCCGTGATGGATCGAAGACTTCCTGCAGCTCAGACAACAGCTTCTCATATTTACCAGGCAGCCGCTCCCAAGTAGCACGCAGCCGAGAGACAGGGGCCAGATTCAACCCGCTGAGAGAGAGAGAGAGAGAGAGAGAGAGAGAGAGAGAGAAAAGACTGAAGCGAATCAAATCAAATTAATTATTAATCACAAGTCCACAGCAGTGAGAGCTGATGGCTTACCTGATAATGGCAAACATGGAGTTGAAGTTCTTGCAGTCTCTGCAGTGCAGGGCGACTTTTATGAAGTGCTTGATAATCTTCATTCTTTTGACTTGGTTAGACTCCCGCACAATCTCCGTGGCGACCCAGAAGGTCTCCAGATTGATGAGGTCTTCAAAGCTGCGGAGGTTGGTGGGCGGGTCATGTGGTCGGAGCTTGAAGAGGTCTATGATATAATCTGTGGGCTCGACGCTGGCGAAGAGCAGGTAGTTGCGTGCTGAGAGCTGATTGGCCATCTCCATGGAGCTCAGAGACAGCAGACACACCTGAGACTCCCGCTGCAGTTCCTGAGCTTCGACGTCCGAACACAAAGTCTCAGTTTCCATATTACTCTTAAGGTAGTACCTGAGAGAAAAACAAATAATTATCTTTTTATTAATTCATTGTTTATCATTGTTTATATACGTGTTTGTCATTGTTTATATTTATTTTGTCCTAACCTGACCAATGACCAACACCAGCTGAGGATCTACAAAAACCCCCATCATGATAGTATCTGCTAAAATTAGCTTTGTGACATCTACAGCCATCATCAGATCATTAATAAAGAAAAATAAATAAATACAGTAATTAATTACATGCAACTGTATATCGGACAATTTATTATTTTGATTTTAACCCATCTATGTTAAAACTGTATTAGGTAAATAACATGTATTCCGAGGTAAGTAACGCTGCTGCTAAACGTAAAATCCATGACAGATGCACCCCTAGTAAATTCCATAAACGTACTCATCAATCAGTGCCGTCAAAAACAGCTTCTAGTGTAGACAAACTCTGCATAAAGCACTGTACTAACATTGAGGATATCTTGGACTCCGCTGCCAACAACGTGAGTGACTTAAGTGTGCTGGATTTAAAACTAATCGCAAGCCTGTGTGTGTGAGAGAATGGAACTTTGTCCCAAAGCTCACCTGGCACAGAGCTGAATCCTGTCGGCCAGTTTTGAGAGCTGGTCTGGGAGTCGCCTCTGTTTGATGACGCCCTCAGGTGTGACAGATACCTCACACAGAGAATAAGCTTCAGGTCCTGCAGTGAGACCAAACTCTCTGATGGCCAGATTGGCGGCCTCTCGGGCTGTGGTGTCCCTATTGATCAGCAGGTAGCGACTTTGTTGGTCTGCCTTGAAAACTCGCAGCACCTGATCTTGTAATTCTGAAAAATAATTGATGTAAAAACCAATTTAACTTGGATCGTTTAGACCACAAGTACTGGTTCAACCATCCTGCAGTTCATAAGCTTTCACTTTGTTTTAAGTTTCCAGTTTCAGTCTGGCATCCTTTTCAACCACCCTGATCTTTATGTCCTAATGAACTACAGAGGAGAGTCACCTAAGTTTGTGTCACGAGGGACAACAAAAGGAAAGGAATACGCAAATTAATATGACTATTCAAACAAATTTAGGGCAAACAGTTCTCAGCAAATGACCAATCCATCGATTATACTTTTGACAAGTCAGCTCTACAAATTGACCGGGTCAATGGAAATGGAATTTGTGAAGCAGACAAATGGCATTTAAAACAGCCTTTATATGTACATATTTAACAAATGTTTTTATGGAGAGATGTTTACAAGACTCTTACTGATATGTTATAATGCTGTTTCTGATTCCTGTGTTAACAGGGGGGACTTGGCCCAGTTCTCCTGAAGGCTGGGTAAGCATGTTCTCTTATCAGAAAGAAATAGTGCCATCTAGTGGATTAAGACAGAGATGCATTTAATCCGTTAGTGTACTGATGGGTTTAAAACATTAATAATTTATTAACAGAACATTCTTCTTTGGGGCACCACATATCCACACTATCTTTAAACCAAAAATACTGCAATATTATGCTATTTGTTCCCCACGACTTTTAACCTGCACTTCTTTCTTACACTTTTTGTTATGCTTTTACTAGCATGCATAATCCATCTTTTAAACTTCTGAAATGATGAAGTGCCAGACTGAAGCTGTGGAGTGGACAAAAGTGAAAGCTTACAAGATTCAGGATTGCCGATCTAGGCTATCTAACCAGCACCAGGATCCCAGTTCCACAGCACAAATTACATGCAGATGGTCTGCTGGAACTGAGATAGCTCGAATCAACAAAAGGATCAAAGCTTTGAGCTCAAACCCAAATTAATGGAGACCAGAAAACGACAGTATCAAGGACAGATTAATCTAGGGGACTGAAGAAACATGTAACAGACTGATTCAGCTACTACACAGAAGAAGTAACAATTAAGACATTCTACTGATCACAGAACTGTTAGAACAATGACTGCAGACAGGCAAGACGAGCAGCTGGAAAAGTGTGTAACTGAAGACAGCTGAGAAAGAGGGATAAGGGCGACTGCACCCTGATGAGAAAGGTAGATTATGAAGAGAATTTTGTATAAAGTATTACAATTAGGGCTGCAACTAACGATTATTTGTAGAAATGGTTAAGTGGCGCCTTTATTAGAGCAATTACCAAAAGCTAAAGTTCAACTTTTTCTATCTCAGAGTGAAGCAGAGAAAGCTGTTAATGCATTTGTTACAAGCAGAACTGATTAATGCTCTTTTTACTGGGCTTACTAAGAAAACAATAAATCGTCTACAACTCTAATGCAGCTGCACGCATCCTAACAAAAACAAAAAAGAAAGATCATATCACTCCTGTTTTGAAAGAACTGCACTGGCTAAAATTTCAAAATTTGTCAAAATGCACATCCCTTATTGAGAACAACTGTTAAGTGTCAACAATTTAAAAAAATAAATTGAAAAAAATTCTGCATTTGTTAACAAATCGTTGCAGCCCTAATTATATAACAATTACATAAAGATCTAGCAAAGATATCTGGAGAAGAGTAACCACATCCATACAGGTGATAATTCTGAAATTAATTCGTCTACAAGACGGAGCTGGCAGACAGGCGATGAGGAATCTACAGAGAGAGCTGGATCAGCAAGACTATCTTCTATCAAGGGACAGAGAGTGCAATCAAAACTACTCAAGACATTACAGCTAGAGCCATAAGACAGGTTCCCAGAGCCAGACAGAGTCGAGGAGAAGCAAAAGATCTCTAAGACAGGTGTTGACAGAGACGGTAAAAGCATAAAACAGGTATTTCTACTGAGACAGCGGCAAGAGCCCCATCAGTGCGCGAGTACTCACGAGTGAATCCAGGTGCTGTGAGCAAGAAGGTTCAAGAGGAGTTAGAATCTCACACAGGCGTTATAAACATATTCAGCAGAGCACAAAGACACAAAAACATACACGCACAACCACACTGTGTAGTTAGCATGAGACAGTAAAGCAGGAAGCGAGATGAGAACAGAACAGCTGTGTGCTGGGTGAACATGTATTCTGCAGCGAATGGCCTTGTTTTAGTGCTATGTGCTGGATACAGCTCAGTGGGTTTAGGGCTACTCCTGATTATGGACTGATTTTCTGAGGCCTGACATCAACAACATTGTCCAATCTTTCACTTGCAGAAATATCTAGTTGTAACTATTTTAACAAAGAAGAAAACACATAAATAAACCCTATTGTTTAACTGACAGAGTCGACCAAGGATGCTGTAATAGATTAATACATTAGTTGACTTTGACAGCCCTGGCTGAGTTATAAATGAAGTGTTGACGTTACCGGGTGGTTGCGTGCTGTAATCAATGATACGCTGTTGGCCTTGTGCCAAGTCGGGGTTGCTGGATGACAGGTTTCCACTGACCGGCACAGCGGGCGGAGGCTGCTTGGCCTGCCTCAGACCCACGACGGTGTCGTCTTGCGTTTGCCCCAACCCGAGGTCACTGTCAACCAAAACAAATCATCTCCCATCATGCGATTGTCACAAATCATACTGGTGTCGATAATACAGTTCAGCATGAACAGGAATTTCAAAATGGCGTACTAATATGCACTACCGATCAGAAGTTTGGAATCACTTGCCATATTAATTTGTTATTCTGTATACAGTAATAAATTATACAGTTTGTTTTATATATTACAAATGATTCACCTAAAGGTAGTTTTAGATGTTTTAGAATTCTGTGAACAAGTTTAACAATTTATAATATACTAATATTTACCATACCTCTGAAACATGATGAATGCTTGTGATTAAATGTATTAATTTTTTATCTTCTACAGCTTCATCCATCATCGTGAACACATCTAAAATTTCTGCCTTTTAATTTACAGCTTTCTAGTGCCCTGCTAATTGTTTGGCAGGTGTGAAGTTGCACGGGATTTGCATATTAGAACAGTTTTATACCCAATATCTGCAACCAAATTGGGTTATATATTATTTAAAGAAGTGATACCAAACTTTTGAATGGTACTCAGTCTTAGGTGCCTGAGAAATTTAGATTTAAAATGCCCTTTAGCTGCGTTGTAAATATTTATTTGCTCTGAAAAATCTGAACATGGCAATAATTACAAATAACATTAGTAGTAGTGATTTTATGTGTCAGTGTGTTTTCAAACCTCTCCTCATGGCAGCCTGGTATTCGTAGTAATCATCCAGTAATTAATTTGGCAAATAAATACTTCATTACATTAAATTAAGTGTGTTGCTGATGGAATTTAATCAATATCTGTGCTGGCTGGGGGCATCTAGAAAAAATCTGGCACCAAACTAGCTCAAGATATCAACAACTTTTTTTGAAAAAAGGAAACTTGTCACCTTTTACTGTATTTCTGCTTATTTGTATTCTAATGCTATATGGTGTTTTCATTGGTAGAAACACACTCCCTTCTAAGATAAACGGTCAGGTGCCTATGACTTTTGTATGGAACTATACATGACTTCAGTATATGTGAGTTTGAACTGGTACCTGTATGGTTTCTGAGGTAGGATGCTGATGCGCGTTTTGTCCAGAATCTTCATCAGTTTGTTGCGGCCGCCCACCGTGTGTGCTTTGGCCTTCTTGCTGACCTTTTCTTGACTGATGACCCCAGTTGCAACCCCAAGATCAGGTACAGAATAACGGGAGTTTTTCTTCCCATCGCCAATTTTAGGGAGATGAGGAACACCGTTCTTTCGCTCCTCCGCTACTCGGACCACCAGCTCCTTAAAGACTGAGAGAAAGAGAAAACGAAATGTTGATATTTCAGCTTCAGTATTCATTTTGTGAGCTGCCTGGCCCATTGTTTTGATGTCCAAGTCATTTGCTATCTTTTATTGTGTAGATTCATATTTTTGATCCAAACACCCAAGTTTAAACTATATATAATCAGTGCCAAGTCTAAGGCAGGCCTTGAATACTGTCTAAGGTATTTTAGGAATAAAACATAACAAACCCTATTTAGGAATGCAGATGTATGTGTATTAAAATCAATGGCCTCACCCAAAAGGTTGGTTTTGACTGTCATGGACAGATGCATGTTGTTCTTGAGGATCTCAGTGGCTTTGGACAACTGTACATTCTCAAAGGTTTGCCCATTCACTTCTAATATCTAGACAAAGAGAGAAAAAGCACTGATCAATAACCAATTTAATTTAAGACAAACATAGGCATCATTTTAGGAGCTATTTAGGCTATTATGTAAATTTAGAAGCTATTAACATGCTATTCTTGTCATATCCATGGTCACTTGGTCCTACCTGGTCTCCACGCTTAAGCCCCGCCTCCTCTGCCTTGCTGCCTACTTCCACACTGCTAATGAAGAGGCGTGTCCCTCTCTCGGCACCACCAATAAGAGTGAAGGGGAGGGGCATCTCCCGTGAGACCCTTGTGATGGAAACCACTCGAGGTTTGGCCTTAGCAGCGCATGCAATGTTCAACAAGCGCAACTGACCAGCCATCTTCTGCTCCAAGAGGGAAGGGAGAAAGAGGCATGAGTGTATAAGCATGAAGGACACTGAATACTTACATATATTTGTGCATTTGTGTGGGCTTATTTTCATACTTCTCTTTCCAGACAGTTCTGGAACTCCTCCAGGAAGTTGGTCATGTCAGGGTCTCCCTCAAAGTCACTAAAGTGATTATTAACCCACAGCAACACAACCCGTGTCACCTGCGAGAGAGAGTGTAACTGAGTGCATGTTTGTGTATTGTAGAGGAGAATGGAATGATTATGATAGGGGCTTCAGCTGTATACAAAAAAGTTTCCATACCTTATCACGTAGACTGGGGTCATTAAACCAGTCCAGTAGTCTTTGGCCAATGATGAGAGGACTGGACATAAATGTGCGATAGGTCAGCAGGAAGTCTTCAATATATGTGGGGTCCACCACAGAGTGATCCTCCACTAAATGCTGAATCAATCGCTCTGATGTGCCCTGGGAGATGAGTTTAAAGACGTTACTGATGTCTGAGTCTGCTCCAGTGGAAGGTCAACATGACTTGAGCCATCATGTCTGTTCTGATTAAAAGCAAGAAACTTGGAGGGGAATACTAATGGTGAAAATATAAACGGCTGTAACAGGGCGATCCTCAATTAAGGTTGAATTTGGTAGACCAAAAGACCTCATGTTCTACTAAGACATACTAGTGCTAGAAGAAGAGTCTCGTTTTGACTGTAGCTCTTGAAACATTTGCTGAAACTCTGTTTTTAATGTATTATTTTTTGTTTTTTAAGACATAGGCAAGGCAAAGCTAGAACTTCTGAAAATAAAATATGTATACAATAATGAAATAAGTTAATTATTTTAAGAAATATAAAAAGTATAAAGTCACAATTTCTGCACGCCACCACACTAATAAGCACAACCGGTTAGCAATCTGATCAAGAATGCTAATACCTTGACGACGATGTGGCCCTTGCGGGTTCCCGTGCGGTCGAGTTCTCTGTGTTCTTTCACCATGACTATCTCTCCTTCCTCCTCTACCCGCTGCGTGTTCTGCTCCACCTGATTCAATATGCAGCAGTAGTCCTGCTGTGCTATACACACAAACTGCACACAGGAAAGAAAACAAAGTGATTTCGCATTCAGGTATTTTATTGCAAGATGATGATCACATTATACAACAGATCTGATGGCACAATCTGATCCAATCTGATCCAAAACCAGAACAAAAAGTCAATTTGTTTCTATCCAGTTTATTTACACAAAAATGTACCTGGCAGTCGTCCACTTTGGTCCTCATGACGCCGACCATCAGCTCTTTCTCCAGGCAGGGAGAGACCCCGAAACTGCCCCCCATGCCTACAGTCTCACACTGTCCATCTGGATACATCACCTCCACAGCCCCATTCAGGATTACTGACCACGAGTCCAGCTACATCACACATATAGACATGCATATATTAAAGGGCAACAGACATTCAGAAGATAAAGATGAACTGCCTCAACAGCTCAGTTAGGAGGTACCAACAGTGTCTGTCTCCACAATTAGTTTTGAGGTGCAATTTTTTTTTGTTTTGTTAATGCCCTTTAACAAGCTCTTCCAGACCTAAAGTGGCTGTATTAAAGCAGGAAAACACCACTATAAATACTCTAGGAACTAACAAAAACACAGTGAACATGCAGTAGGTTTCAGTGATTGTGGTCTTGCATTGTTCTGTTTAAAAGCCTCTCTTGCTGCTGTATCAAAGATTAAACAGCAGTAGCTCCAGACTGAAATTTTAATGCTAAAGGCACTGCAACAAATTTGCTAACGCCAAAAAAGATGCAGAAATGCCTGGCGACTGACCTCCTCTCCGTGGTTGAGTACGATGGTCCCTGCCCGCTCCACCACGGCAAACACCATAACAGCACACAGCTCTCGCCTCACAGAGACACTCAGACTGGCGAATGCTGGGAGCTGCTGCACAAACTCCAGTAACTGCTCTGTAGATACAGAGAGAGGAAAATAAAATGCGAGACAGATTCAGGGAGTGTGTGAGTGTATGTGCTCAGGCATTTTCTTTATGAGAGACTTTCTTTGAGCTATTTTTTGTACAGGTCACTTACAACCTATTAATGCACAGTTGCTGTTACCCATAATCCAAATAATACTAGCGATACAACTTTCTTTTCTGAGGTTGTGATTCAATTTGATTTTCGATACATCATGTGTTAAACATGACTTCAATCTACAGAGCTCTAATTACAGTTCTACACAGATTGATTTGGCTCAGATCAATAAAAGTTCTCGACCTGAATGTTTCCAATGTCTGTCTCTATGGCAAAATCTCAATTGCCTAGATTTTACGACACACTCACAGTCACGTAATCGTCACTTTGCCCCTCCCCTCTCACTGTACTCTAACAGGATGAACCCAGATGCCTAGTTTTGATCACTGACAGCTGTTACCACAAAAGACAGCAAATAAGAGACACTCAGAAGAGGCTAAAAGGTGTCTCAGCTATAGTTTTGAATTGTGACAATCCCCTATAGAGCATCTTAAACAGCGGTTTTCATACTGGTCCTCAGGACCCACCAGGTGGTCCACCCTTTTGCTTCATCCTTATAAACTGAGAGTAAGGATAGAGCAAAAACGTGGACCATCTGCGGGGCCTTGAAGACCGTTTTGAAGACCTGTAAGGCAGGTGGGCAGTAGATAGTGAGTATATATGCACTGACATATAGGTATATGAATACGTGTACTGAGCTCCCAGCAGACTGGACTGACTCTTTATTAACAAACTACAACATAAAATACGTGTTAGAAATCGTCTGTTTTACCAATGTCATCATCTGTACGATCCATGGGGTCTTTCTCCAGGCAGTCTCTCACTATGTCCCGACTCATGAGGGGATCCGATGACCTCCCCACATCTTCATCGTCCTCGTCCTCATCCGAGTCCACCGCCGTTTCAGGCAGTCCACTGAGATCCACATCGCCACACTCACTCTCAGTAGCCTGTCAGAGAGATTTTTTAATTTAATTGCAGTTGTGTTGAATTAAAAATATTAAGTGCAGGACTTGAATCTGACTGGTCACAGTACCAGTGCAAAGAACTAGTATTATCAAGGAATAGTTCGCCAGTTTTCCTGTTTACCCCAAATGTAGTCAATTTTTTTGCTAAAAAATTGTCAAAATTTTGCTTCCTAGGTCTAGAACCGGAGGTGTGAGGCAAATGTTGCTAAGAAACATGGTTGAGAGACGTTCTGGTATATTTATGGAAATGGTTTGAGATATTTGGGTGACTATTGAGATCTAATACCTGTTAGCAATGTAAGCCTCACTGCTCCAGTTTTAAAATAAAGAAGTAAAATTTAGACTCCAAAAAATTCTCTGCTGATCAACTACTTCTGGGGTAAGTGGAAAATTTAGTAAATTCGATTTTTCACTAAACCATTCCTGTAAGCTGGGTACAGACAGAGGAGGGCTCAGCAGGAGGCTAGTGTTAATATAGTGTTGTTTAGTTGGTGGGGGGGTTATTTGTTACTTTACTGCATTATTTGAGAGTGTGATGGATCTTGCGTTTGTATGATCCTGTGATTAGCCAAATGTGTTGGCTGATTGACTGCGTCTAGTGTAATTGGAAAACTCAAATTTCTGCAAAACTATGACTTTAAAACTGACTGCTACTCTAAAATCCAATATTTAGCTACTGAATGACTTTTTTTTTTCAATAGTTGGTACTATTTTGGCACCATAAATGTATTAAATTTGCATTTATATATGTATGTGTAGGTTAGAGGTGGGGTCTGGGGGATGCAGGTGGAGTTTATCTGGAGGTCATGAGCTGATATGACAGATGGTGAGTTAGATCAAACAGAAAGGGGGGGGGACTCTTTTTCAGAGAGATTTAAATCTGTGTCCCAGATGTTCATGTGAGGTGCCTGTAATGATGACTTCAATGTGCCCAGCCTGTGCAAGAAGACCGCTTGTAAGAATGAGTGAGACGAGTGGGAGAGATGGACAGACTCAGAGACATACCTGGTAAATATCCGATAGGCTACTGCTTCCCGAGTCACTGGCAATGCTGGATCGTGATTGGCTGGAGGACATGTGGAGGTGGAGACTGTCTGAAAGGTGGAGCTTAGAGAAATCTGCAGGAAGCTGAAAGAGAAAACAAAGTATTACACACACACACACACAAATTTGCTGGTGACAAATGCATGCATGGAATGTGTGTGTGCGCGCACTGCCTTTTGCATTCTAGTCCATAATGGCTCAAAGGATTAAGCTCACTAAACCCCCCCTTCCGCTCATAGCACAATTACATCCAGCAGCATGAGAGTGGCACACATACACAAACACACTTAACAAAACCATAGAGGAACATCTACAGTACTGTGCAAAAGTTACAGACCACCTTTCATCTATTTCATTTCTGGTCAAAAAGGTCAATAAGTACAAGTTATTCATTTTTCTGCATCAGGAAAAAAGCAAAAACCATATTAAACAGAAAATTACACAGAAACCTCATAAACTAAATATAGTAATATATAATTTTTCAGCATTTAGTGTGTCCACTCTTTGCCTTCATTAGAGCTTTCATTCTTTTCAGGAGTCTTGCTTTCAGATTTTCAAAGAAATCTGCAGGATGTCTTTCTACATCTCCAAAGTTCAGTCTTAGAAGTTGGTTGCATTTTCTGCTTCTCATAATCCACATAATTTCAAAAACATTCAGTGATGCTGGACTGAGAACAGCTTCTTTGTTTGATTTGCAGTTTAATTTTTTCTCTATTTCTCTTTTCTCAGTAAGGACTTCCTGACAGCTACACATCCTGTGAGACTCATGGTGTTGAGCTGTCTTCTCACAGCGGAAGGATGGCTAAAAAACTGTGGATTTTTTTAGATCTGAAGCAAGAGTGAATCTTTTTTCAAAAGTACAGTTTATCTGATGGTGACAGTTTTGGTTTTCCTAAGTCTTGCACAGTTGTTGAGAGTCCCATTTTCTCTGGACATTTTTTCCCCGTTTTTTCACTTTTTTTCTTTGACTTTCTCTTTCTTTTTGAAAGTAGATCATTTCCTCAGAAACACCTCCTGAAAAAGAAATAACTTGTACTTAACAGCCTTTTTTACAAAAATAAAATAAATAAGGGGCGGTCCCCGACTTTTGCACAGTGCTGTCCATTAATCAATGCCTCCATTTTGCATGCTTTCGTTAAGTGCTAAAAGAATGCACAAACACTCACAAACCCCCATTAAAAACTCTCAAGCACAACGCTTGAATTCAGAGGGGATTAAGTGGCAGCTCGCAGTTTGCCATGTGAAGTGATATGCTAATGACTTTAGGAGGTCATTACCAAATTAATTCACACTTCATTCCCCTTCTCATGATTGTGCGCTATGAAATAGATCAGCTAGTGGACACGTGCGTGAGCCCGCACACACACGCGTGCTTAATGCTAAACAGTATATCCAGAGGCTTAATATAATAGAAGCTGTTGATGGGTTTGAACTCATGGCCTAGTTCAACTGGCCTACATACAGAGACCACACAACACACCACTGCAATTAGAATAGGCACACACACAACTTAATACTCTGACCTTGTAATCAAATCATCACTAATATTACTGAACTCATCCACTCGCTGAAAATTTTTTACCCTACTTAATTTACTTATTTACCCTAAATCATCTGCACTACAAAAATTTTTAGACCTGCAGTAGCAATAAAAATCACATGCCAAACTGTTTTGTCTACAAGTTTCAATACAATAGCTGCAATATATTTTAATTAGTGATGCATCGAAATAAAAATGGCCAAAAAAATGAAATTCAGGACACATTCAGCAGAAAACAGAAACTGACACCCAAAAATCAGTGACAACAGATTACGTAAAATAAAACATACTACAATTATTTTAGTATGTAGGCCACAGAAAGTGCTATGAAACACAACTTTCCACTAACTCCAGTGAACAGGTGTTCATTCGTGGCACTGAATTTCATTATATTTTAATTACACTTTGCACTCTTGCTCTGTTATTTGTAACTTTTTTTTTAATCATTTCTAAAACAGGCTACAGATGCCGCTGGTGTATTTGTTGGAACTTTCATTTCTGCTTCTGTTGTTTTGCTGTAGTCTGCATATATTCAGTGGGATGTTGTGTTTTCTAACAGTATGAAACATGTAGTGGTTCTTGGGAGCTGTATCCTCTCTTGATTTTCAACCTGAACAGTGTTTACAAATCTTTTGTCCATCATTAAAACTTAAACAGTTCCACATGGCCAACATTTTCACTGTTGATCTGCTACCGCTCAAACTGTTTGAACACATCTGCATAGTAAAGTGATGGTAACAGCTTTTTTAATTACTTTTTCCGATTTTCATCTGTAAAGTCTTATTTAGAGACTTTGTGGTATGCCTCTTTAATCTTTGTTATTTTCTGTCAAAATTGTTGGTCATTTTCTCTTTCGGCTAAAAACGTTAGTTAAAGTTAAAGAACACCTTGTTTTCATGAGCGTACTAAGCTACCTCTCCATGCCACAAAACACCATAACACATAGTAGACTGGTTTCCTCGACAGGGATTAAGCCCAATACTGGGCTATATTTGTATTTGAAAGGAGAAATTCCACTCAATGTTGTGGAGCTCAGGACTAGGCTTAATCCCTATTTGGGAACCCTGACACAGACCAGCCGCGCAGTAGTACCTCTATGTTTCAATGGATGCCACGTGATTGTGACATTATTCTGCCCTACCATTTTCTCTCGCTCACCATTTTTGCTAAAAATTTTCAGTGGCCAAAATTTTGGTGCATCCATAATTTCAATACATTTTATAAAATGCAGATAAGGAATTTGACTGTTCAGATCTTCTGTTCAAATGGAAGCAATGTGATTCTGATATTTTTCTGCCTTACTCTACATCCTGTTTTTCTTACAATATCTTAAGAAATTATGCTTTACACATCAAGTTTTTCTTTTTTTATAGAACTTTCTGGAGTTTTACAGACACACTGACAATGTCCAAAAACAAACCAAACCAAAAAAATAAATGCTGATCAGTGTACATTTGCACAACTATGTGCAAAAACCAGTCTGCAGTTTAGCGTTTGCATGCTTTACATGCATCTGTATCAACAATATATCAACATATTAACAATATACAAATGTCACGTATTGTGGTCAACATTATTTTTTGGTCAAAGCCCAACTGCCTAAATAAGACTACATGGCCTGGTGAAAGTACAATTAACACAAACAAGCAAGGTTCTAAGCTGTCTAATGGATTTAAATACATCTTTTTCTTATTTGTCCCTTTTAGAAAGATTATAGAGTGATTGCTTAACAGAGAAAGTTATTTAAATTTATGTCACTATGATCTCACAAATATTGTATAGCATAAAATGTAACTACAAAATTCACAATGCCGGAAAAATGAATGGTAACGTTAAAAAGACTTGTTGCATGCTGTGCACACTGTATGCGGTGTGTGCGCGCGTGTGTAAATATACTCACACTCCTCATCTCTGCTCCCCTGACTCCATAACTGTGCGAGAGAACTAACTGCCTCATAGCCAAAAACACAGAATGTCCAACCATCCTGTTTCCATCAGCGTAAAGCAGCCTGAACCTCTACAACATTGCCTCTTCTCTCTCCAGCTTAATCCTCTTGAACCCTCTACTTCTCTAACTGCCTCTTTTTCTGTCTTCCTTTGTCTTTTTCAGATTTTTGCCTCAATCTGTCGCATTCGCGCTTCTGCAACTACTTCCTCTGCCCTCACTCGCACCCTGCAACATCGCTTTCTAGCAAACTCCTGCTAAAATCTCCACAGCAACAGACATCACACAGGCAAGGGGGGAGGACGAGAGAGAGGGACAGAGGGAGAGAGAGGGTGGGAGAGAGAAAGCTGCTGAACCTGCCTCCTTTTCACTCTCTCTTTCAGTCACACGCACACAGATTAGTACGAGTCTGGTATTGTTTATGCAGAAGGGGGGGGAGGGGTTTGAGGATGAGTGAAACACGCTGCCCTACTAAACCAGTCACCAGCGCTGACCCCCACGATGATGGACTGCTCACTGGACAATCAGTCCACTTTAAACCTCCTCACAAATCCCACCCCCAATGACAATCACAATAAGGTTCATTAATGGTCAGAGAAACCTAAGTAATGCAGAAAAAGAAAGGAGAAAGGCAAGAGGTGTATGAGAGAGAGAGAGAGAGAGAGAGAGAGAGAGAGAGAGAGAGAGAGAGAGAGAGAGTGCGCGAGAGAGAGTGAGAGAGTGCTCAGTACAGCAATAGAGGAAAGAGTAGATTTGCGTTTCTTGTATAAAATACAGCATATTCTTAATCTTAGAAGTCTTGACTTGCATTAAATAATGATCTAGAAATAATAACCATATAATTTTATGTAATTATTTACATTAATATTCAAGGCTTTTCTTCTGACTTTCACATTTGTTTTGATGTCAAAAAGAGACAAACATGGCAAAAACAACATTTTTTCTTTTTCACTGCATGTGAAACTATCTTCATCTAGGGCAGTTTGATGGTATTTACTACTTTCGTGAAAAATATTGTGCTAAAATAATCATAAAATCATCTCCATGTTTCCTTACAAAGAGAGCATAATTAGACCTGTTTGAGTTCAGTGCAGTATGTGAAACATTGAATAAAACCACTGCGTTAATAGACTTGGATAGAATGACAAGAAAGCCAAGAGGTGGGTGAGAAAGAGAGAGAGAGAGTGAGAACGCAAGAGAGACCTGAACAGCAGCAAATAAAAGAGTAAATTTGCCTTCCTTTTAATCATTAGAGCATTGCATCACTGTCCAATATACATATATATGTATATATAGACATACTATATCTATGGTAGTAGTGGACATTAGTGTCAATGTCACTATATAGTTAATATTTTGTACAGTTTCTCCATATATCATGTTTTAATGATATCTTTGTGTACATTCATGCTATCAATATTAGCTGAGACGCTGTTCAGCCTCTCTGCTGTGAACACAATTTGCCGGAAAACAACTGATAAATTACAACATGCTTTCATGAACGCTGGTGATAACTGCAACCTCTAAGGGTTAAAGGGAAGGAGAGAAAAGCAGGTGAAGTCATTAGCAGGTGGAGGAAGTAGTAAGGGAGGCTGTTAGAGAGGATTACGGGATGGTTTAAGGCAAGGTTACCTGGGATTTTGAGCATTCCTGCAGCCGAAACAAAACAAAAAAAGACAATTATTAGATATTGTACTCTTCCAGTTAAGGGACTAAAGAATCAATCATGATTACATACTCAAGATTGTGGGGAATTAGCAAAACTAAATTATGCTGCATTAATCAATATATTAGAGAGAGAGAGAGAGAGAGAGAGAGAGGGAGAGAGAGAGAAAGAGAGAGAAAGAGAGAGAGAGAGAGAGAGAGAGAGTGTTTGGGGGTTGACAGATTCTGTACTTCAACTGTAAGAGACAAAAGTTCCTGGACAATCAACCAACTTCTCATTGCTCTGCATGCAATTGTGTTCTTTCACAATAACCGTTGCTAGTTTTGACAAACTTTCAAATAGCATTGGCAAAAATGACAATCAGCCTCTGAAACTTCTAAATTTATGTTTAAACCTGCCTACAGCTTTAGAGACAGTGCAACATAGCACTGCTTGACAGCTTAGCATTTGAAACAGGAAAATCAACAGTAAACACTGCCTCTAAGCCACACTGTGGTTGCCTATCCTGAAAAATTTTGTGTTTGGTTCAAAGGCATTTTTGCTGTTGCCATGCTTGTCCAAACTTGTAACAGTTGCTGCAAAAGAACACGTCTGTGGGCGGAGCATCAATACATCAATCAGCCTTAAAAGTGCAGCAACGGTCTGCTGACCAGGAGACCATTACAGGAGTAATGTTGATGATGGTAAAAATAGTGGTAAATCTGAAAAAATACAATTGCCTTTTGGGCTAATTTGCCAAACAACGCCCTATATGTAGCTCCTCCTTTATGCCAAAACTTTGGATGTCCGGTTGCTGTCACCACCAAAAACAAGCAATTCTGACTGTAAAGCACAGCATTTCACATCCAACCACTCTTCACACCATGGTTTACACCTCAGGCGTTTAACTACAGAGAAATTTATCAAAATTGGTGGACTTTCCCCTTTAAATCAGGGTGTGACCTGTTCTAGGACAAGCATGTACACGTGTTTCTGTACGGACCGTGTGGTAGCCTGGTGGTAGAGGAGGCTTGCTGACTGGATAGTGCTCGACTGTATCAATGATTGTCTGTCTCTCGCCGCGCTGGTTTATTTTCCGGAACCTTCTCCTGGACTGCCGGTGGGACGCCTGCCTCTGAAAATACTCCTCACTGTCCTCCATGTAGTCCACCTTTAAGACAGAGAACGAGACAGACAGAGAGAGACAATTATTTTAAGCCATTTCTTAATTTTCTACACTGATTACTTGTTTTGTATTGGACAGACAGTTTAGTTATAACCTCAGGGGTTCTCACAAATCAACACTGTTTTCACTCACACACAAACAACTTACCACTATCATTTCTGAGGCTTCAAGGACAATACACTCACACCCTCGACGCAGACTGCCTGCAGAGCGTTTCCCAAAACTGTGTGGGAGAGAGAAAGAGAGAGAGAGAGAGGTTACACAATGTTGAAAGTGAGGTCAGATAATAAGAAAGCAATTGTGCAAAAATGTACACAAACCTGCTACGTGGTAGAAACATGGACTCCTTTATGAAGACCGAGCCAGACAGCAGGATGTACCAGCAGGTCCCAATGTCATCCGGACTAAAACACAGAAATATTAAAATATTACCAACGACACTTAAGCAGGGAGTTTCACTGTCAATATTTCAGTACAGCTGCAGCCCCAAAAACAGTCATGTTATTTAAATGTATGTCCACCTTTGAGGTCAGACTCACTAATCTTTCAAAATTCCATCTGAACGCTGCATGTGACCTAATCTGAGACACGGGAAATAAGAGTATTACCAAGTGAATTTCAGCATGTGAGTATTACTCACATTACAATGCTAGAGGGGCCGCTCTGACAATTAGACTGATGTCAGTCACCATAAAAACAAGTCTATGTGAGACTGCTTACGAATTTGAGGTGGTTGGAGGTGAGCGTGTCATTATGCTACCGTACCTGACTTAAGAAACAGACTCAGCACGTGTCTCTGCTGATTGGGAATGGAAAAACTGAGAAGCTTTGAGTTCTGTTCAAGTCAAAGAGTATTAGGATTAAGTTTAGCTGTGTACTTCTGCTCTTTGCCTTGTACAGCTATTCTGAAACTCACTTTCACTTCCTTCCACTCTTCTTCAGGCTGATTTTTAGCTAAATTGGTTTGCGCCATCAGACATCAGGCCACTTCACATTCAGCAAAAGCTATTCCAGGCTACTGGCCTACATTTTATTGTTATTTTCTGTTTCACTATTAATTCTAGTTTATCAGAGTACACTGACTACACCACATCGGTCATCTTTTCACACTCGCCCTTCATTCGCCTCTCTTTCTACTTCAACCATTTCCTGGTCTCCCCCTTTCATGCTGCTGCCGTTTGTTTAGAAAATACAATTCAAAATATGAACAAATGATTGAATTCTGTAAAGGATGCACATTCGAATGTAGACTGTAGATGTAAATGTTTTGTGCTTTATCTCTTGTGGAGCTACATTTCCAAAAGCAGCCTAAACTACAGAGCTGTGTGCAAAAGATCCTGAATGAGGTGGAGAAACTCTCCGTTCTCCTTTCGCCCATTTCGTGAGAAGCAAGTGTGAACAACACTTTCCACAAATCCCAACAAATTCCAAAAAAATTGCATTGTATCTGGTGTGTATAGTTATGTTGCAAGACAAAGTGTGCTGGAATATTTGTGTTGTTCATTAGCGTTGTGTTCAGTGTGTAACAGCCTGTACACTCCAAATGTTGAGAATGATCACATTATATTTAAAAGGAAGCAAAGTGTGCTTCTCGCTGCTTAACTAAACACTGTCATGAAGCTTCCACTGCTACCTGCACCAGTAACAGGCTTGTGCGACACTCTGTGCATGCATGCTCACTCGTGCAGCTATTTAATTTGCTTTTTTGCTACCAACCATTTTCTGACTCCCATGCTTGATATTTACTTGATATACCACTTACTGCAAGTGCATATGCTACTTATTTACTTAGCATCTATAAAAAAATGATGCATTTAACATTAGAATGTGTTCAAATATTTGACAATGTAATACATAACACTCAAATTTCACCATGGGAAAACTTCTGCATTTGTTCAACTTTAGCAAGCAATGGATACTTCAACAATTTAACTTCAAATAGAAACTAAATAGCACAAAGAAAATTCATTATTTATATACCATCACTGACAGTTTTGGCTTTGCTATCCAACAATCTCAATGCTAGTCCATTAATGGACACTGACTGGTATACAAAATGTATGGAGGAAGCTGCTTGCTGTGTTGCTGCTGCCGGACTGAATCGAACGAAAGTGAAGTGAAAGCTCAGGGCTTTTAGAATTACTGGACGATGCTCTCTTTTCCCACTCATGCAGCACTTTCAGAGTAAATAAACTCACGTGAACATCAAAATGGTGTTGAACTTCTGCTTTTTAGGCCTGACTCAGTCTAACCACAGAATGGTCTCTAAAAGTGAGGAGGTTTAACTGGTGCAGCGATGCAGCTGAAAAGAGGCAGCACTGGGGTTTGTAAGGGAGTGTTTATATTAAGAGTGAGCAAAATGGCCAAAATAACATCACAATATCAGAAGGTACCTTCATATGTATCACAATATTTTGTTTATATTTTTAATATCGCGATATTTTAGGTTTAAAAGGAGCACTTACACACGGTAGCCCAAGTATTGATATTTTTATTTAAGAATATTTTTTAACTTAGAATTAAACTATAAATACTTAAAATTCAGAAAAGTCTGTTCACTTGGTAGCTGTCTCACCCCGCAGGTACTTATGCCCAATCATACAAGACCAGGCTGCTATGTCTTTGAAAGGGGAAAAATCTATAAATCCAAAACTGAAACACTGAATATGTTTTAAAAACATATTTCAAATCACTGCTAAATAATCTAATAAAAAGTATAAATAGTTTGTTGCATCTGACTTAAATCATACAAACCACACAAACCAGTGTTTTTTATTCAGGTTGTTCTGGCTATTGCAATGTGTCACATCAAAATACTCATCACAAATCTTTAAATATTTTGATATGAGAGGGTCGGCAGCGATTCCCACGTTATGATATAAGCCATATCTCAAGAATATCCAGAGACACCACTGACTTCTTTGGGCTAAAGCACATCTGAGGTGGACTAACACAAAGTAGGAATGTGGGCTGTGGTCTGATTGATCCACCTAACTGACTTCATGTTCTCCATTCCAAAAAGGACCATCCCATTTGTTACCGACGCAAAGTTCAAAAGCCAGTATCTGTCTTGGCTGGGGCAGCTGAAGTGTTATATGAAGCAAAAACTACAACAACTGTTGTCCACCGTTCCCAAATGATTACTGAACGTTGTTAAATGTGCCTTTCTCAACTTTTTTGGAATGTGTCAAAGCTATAAAATTTAGCAGAAGCATATACACACAAAAAAAGGGAGTTGAAACAGGAAATATCTTGTCTGTGCACTGTTTTCGACTGAACACAGGTCATAAAGGATTTGCAAATCATTGCTGCCTGTGTTTACAGTTCCTATTGTTTCAACCTTTTGGGAACTGGGTCTGTAGCTGTTTTTGTTTACAGGTTCCCTATAATTGGTCTTTTTTGTGTTGCATGCAGTTGGGCAGCTGACGTAATTTATCATGACAACATATCATCATACTGCCCACCACTAGTGTATGTGTGTGCCCTGCTACCCTGACAAACACAAAGAGCTTTTAATGGCTTAATCTCTGTCTGCAGATGGGGGCACAGATTTACATGTCCCAAGCCCAAGACAGCTGTGTGTGTGTGTTTGGGGGGGTGGTGGTTGCAGAGAGAACAGATGTGTGTGTTGGTGCAAATCATTTGCCTGACTTTGCTATAAACCTCTGTTAAACTGACCTACATCAGAACACGTATCTGAATATGTAACTCACTAGTATAAAACCGCATTGGCCTCGTGCTGCTCATAGCGAACCGTTTCACACATCAACCTAAAAGAAAAAAGAGAAAAAGTCAAAAAACAATTACATCCAAATCATGAATGTTCTTGCACACATATTGGATATTACACATAATGAACAGGTCTACAGCCAAGCACATGAAGTGACGGTGCGTCATACCTGAGCTGGTGTTCTCTCAGGTTGGACAGTGCTTCCATCCCATGCAGATACGAGTACACAACCTGCAGGTCCTGCAGAACACCACAAACATGTTATTAGGACTGTTATTATAAATTATATTAGTTATTGGGTAACACAAGAATACTTTTGATGATAAATCAGGCAATCAGATTTTTTAAAGAAGGCCAAACAACAAAAATAGGCTTAAGTGAGCTACAGATGAACAGTTTAGGGAAAATATCTAACTGCAGTTTAAACTGGGATTATTTTCTATGAATTAAAGTCCAGACCTGTTATACTGGCCAAGTTGTCCAGTATGAATGCTAAACATCTGTGCCAGACTGCCAGTTAGTGGCCATAAACACAGCACATGGATGCTTCAGATACTCATATACAGATAGTTCCAAAACTCCATGCTATTATCATTTACAGCCATCTTCACTGATTTTTTCCTTGTATAGGTGCAAAAACATGGATACACACATATGTATGTGTGTACACACACACACACACACACACACACACACACACACACAGCGCGCGCGTACATTCTTACACACTATTACTACAATACTGTGCAAGTAAGTGGCCACTCTTCCTTTATTTAATTTTTTGGTCAATAAATAAGTACAAGTAATTCTTTTTTCACTTCATCATGCTATTTAACACAAATATACACAGAAGACACAACAACTAAATATAACTTTTGTTTTTTTTTGTTTTTTTTAAACATAAATTTACTTATTGTACTTGGTGTGTCCACCCTTTGACTTCATCGTCTCTTTTTGGGAGACCTGCTTTCAGTTTCTCAATGAAATCTGCAGGGATATTTTCCACTCCTTGAAAAGTTCAGTCTTAGAAGTTGGTTGCAATTCTCTGCTTCTCACAATCCAAATAATCAAACACATTCAGTGACGTTGAGGTCTGGACTCTGGGGTGGCCACTCTGTTGTTCTGTGGACAACAGCTTCTTTGTCTGATTCAGATCTGAATCAAGAGTGGAGCTTGTTTTTCTCTTCTCCTTTAAAGATGAAAGCTTTAAGTGCTGTTTATCTGATCAGTTCTGTTGGTCTACCAGAGTCCAATTTTCTGTATATTTTGAATAAACTCCAGTTTTGGGTTCCTTTTCCCCCTCTTGATTCTGCAAGTGAATCATTTGCATCTAATTTCCTCAAAAATATCTCCAGAAAAATGACTTGTACTGAACAGCTCCTTTGACTGGTAATTACATTGTGATCCTGGTCACAGTAAACTCAAAGATCATGAGAATCACCCTCTTGCAGTTACACTCAAATACCAGCAAGGGGCGCTGTTTTAATTTTAATAGGCACTCCAATGCAAACAGCAGTCTCTTTTTTCCCCTCTACTGTCCACACTCCAAGAAACACACACACACACGAACCTGCATCCAGCAATGAATCGACCGCACCCGTCCCACATGACGCAATGCACCTCAGATCAATGTTTAACAAGAAAGGCATGTTTGCGAATACCACAATACCCCTCTGCCTTTTTTTCCCACCCTCTCCCTTTCTTCACTCCACTTTCTTCTATTCTGTCCATTTCCTGACCTCCCCCTCTGACAATGCTGCTCCTTATGCCTTTGTTGCTTTTCTTGCTTGCAGAGAAATACGAGTTTCCAAAACATTGTCAAGACTTTATTCGGTACCAGCGCTGTTAAATAAAATGCAAATCAGTGAACTTCAGCATGGTTCATATGAAATGGAAACTAAAGAGTGGAATGGAAACTCTTGTCATTCTGGAGATCCCACAGACCCTTTCCTTTTCTCAACTTTCTGGGTAGTGAAAAAAGAACTTCTCACATACGTCTTAAAATAAAGTCCTCTATTCACGCTTCTGTCTTTGGTGACAAACCTCAAGCACGTGCTCTGTTGCAAAAACGGCTGAACGCAGTGCACCCACACATACATTTCAAGTACAAGCTTTATCAATCATCTTTTCCAGCTGTTCTGGAAGCATCTTAGTCTCAGATCTCACCTTTACAAGCCACATCAAAGCGAGCATCAAAACAGCCTTCTATCATCTTAAATATATAGCCAGAATCAAAAGGTCTGGTGTCTCAACAAGACCTAGAGAAGCTCATCCATGCTTTTATCTCCAGCAAGGTGGACTACTGTATTGCTCTCTTAACCGGACTTCTCAAAATGACCTTCAAACAGCTACAGCTTATTCAGAATGCTGCTGCTGCAGTTCCAACCATGACCAAGAGAGCAGAGCTCATTACTGCAGTCCTAAAATCTTTACACCGACTTCTGGATTGTTACAGAATAGATGATAAAGTGCTGCTACTAGTCTTTTGATTACTGAATGGTTTAGGCCCAGAAAAACCAAGTAGGTCACTTAGACCCATCCACTCAGGTCAGCTAGTAGAGCATAAAGCCAAAACTAAACATGGTGAAGCAGCATTTAGCTGTTATGCTACATACAACTGGAACAAACTCCCAGACAATCAAAAATATGCTCCAAATGTAGCAATTTTTAAACCCAGGTTAAAGACATTCCTCTTTTTGTGCACCTATACGCACTTTATTTTTAGTATTGCACCTTTAATAAGCCAATTTTATATGTTTGGTCATTCATTTCCATTATATTTATTTTTATTATTTTGTTTTCATGTCTGTAAAGCACTCGGAGTTGCCCTTGTCCAGACTTTCTACTTCCTTTCAATTATTAGTTTTATTTCTTTAAGCTACTGCAACTTTATTCTGTTCCATTTCTTTAACTCCATGTCATTACCAGGCCTTCACATGTTTCAATGTTAACATGTTTATTTTTTTCTTTTAATGTTCTTTTTTGCTGGTATTTATGTAATTTGTGTATAAAATGTGCTACATAAATAAACTTGTCTCGCCAGTGTTAAGTCAGAAGCTGAACCTAGTGAATGTTTTCAAACGTGTTTGTGTGGTTTTCGTTTTTACTTTAACAGTCCAGTTAAATGACCGCACATTAACTCTTGCACAGACTTCTGGACCAGTACAGTGCTCCTCTGTTTCTGCTCAAGAAGATTTTCTCTAATGTAAAGGCACTTCTACTTGAGTGTTTGTTTTTGAGTACACACCATTACCAACCAAAACAGCCATAGACAACAACAATTCATTCAAATCAGCCAATCAAAATAGCTCAGAGGTGGCGCGAGACAGCCTGTGATTGGTAGGTTCAAGTCTTATAGCCGTTTATTCTGGGAACATGGCATTTCCGCCCAGGGGACTCCCACACACTTGGCCGCTCTGCTGCCCACTCCGACAGTCCGAAGGAAAGTGGCAGTGATGGATGAACACCCTTAAGGCTTGGAGTTCAAAGGAGACAAAAACGAGGCCAAAAAGAGACCAGGCTGCTAAATATTGCACCACAGTTAATTAAAAGTGTGACACATTTTGTCCATTAAACACTTTCATTGTGTTTTATGGTTTCATCCACTTAATATAACATAATACATTGAACTCATGTCAAATCAGAAGCTAATTTTGCTATGGCAAAGGAACTTAACGTAAGTGTGGTCAGTTTGTATGTTCTAAATCCAATAGACTTTAAGAACCACCTTCAGAAAGATGCGTTCTGACATGTTCAAGCGTTTTTACACTCCTAGGGCTTTGCATCACATGGCATTCTCTTAGAGGATTTGAAAGCTGACACCTTGCACGGTTTATAAAAAAAGCAAAGCCCTGAAACTGTTCCAATAAGTACACGTTCTCCCAGTCAATTTGAAGAGCAGTCAACCAAGAAACAGCCTATGACAGCTCTGGCGTTTGACCCCAATAAATCAATAAATAAATAGGTGAAGGGGAGCACTTGCATCAGTTAGGCATGGACCATACCTCTGAACGCACTACTATATCATCAAGCCATGTCAACTGTAGGACAAAATGCCAACATTCGGCATCTCCACAAGCCTTTAAAATCCGTTACATGCTCTGGAAGTCAATCAGGACGTTACAGTGGCCCAAACAAGACTACATCCATCAATAACAAGCAAGGTCTTATACCTAGTGATGTCAAACGCTAACACGAACACACGTTTGACCCATTGAACCATCTGTAGTTCCAGCCTGAAGGCCAGCTGCTGTTGCTGTGACTCAGTGACTGAAGGCCTCCAATTTAGAAACAGTCTTTAAACAGCAAGTTACATTCATAGATCACTCAGCAGAGGTTATTGTAAGCTGATGGAAGGCCATGAATATGTTTTACAGTACTGAAGGTTGTCAAATCTTAAGTAAGCAAAACACAGCACTGATGTAGGCAAACTAAAAAAAATAAAAAAAATAAAAAAATAAGCTGCTGGGCTGAGAATCTGTTAATTTGCTTATTTACACTGGAAGACGACACATGAATTGCAAGCAAGAAGTCCAAACATTGGCCATTTCACATAATTCGTCAGTTAGTTTAGGTCTCTTGATACTACACACCACATTTTGTGCGTAAGCGTAAAGGAACAATTAGTTACTGAGCCAATCTGATTATTTTTATCTTTTATTTATCAACGCAGTCAATCAGTGACTAACTCAAGGACCCCTTAATCACTGAACAACGGACTACACCCATAGTTTCTGTTTCTCACTCGGCCTCGTTCTTACACAAAAGGTGATGTGAAACTCAAGATTCCACTGCCTTTCACCCCTTTATATATTTAAGCATATATTAGTCAGACATGCCACTTTTAAGCAGAGAAAAACGTGACAAGTTCAGAAAGCAGGAATCAAGAAACTGCTGTAGAATTATTCAGTTAAAAGTGAAGGCACCCAATTCCAGTAATGTTAGCCTAATAACATTATCCAAGCCAAAATAGCAGTTTCTCAAGAATTTACAACTCCAAAAAATAAACATGTCTGGATCAGCCAAATAAATGACAATGCAGCAGCATCAGCTTCACAAGGGCAAATACCAAAATAACAGTTACTAAACTGTTGCTATCGTAACAAAACACGTCTCTCTGAAACTGAAACTTACATTTTTATCCTACACTTTCCCTTGAAGCCCACTTAACATACATGTGGGTGGTTTTATGTACCAAAATTTTGCATGACCATTTTCACCTCTCTATCACGTCCAATTAA